GACTTATTCTCGCCTAATGCTTTTTACGACTTTTATTCTTGGTTAATGTTACAACTTTATTCTGTGAATGTTTACGACTTTGATTCTGGGGTAATGTTACGGACTTTATTCTCGCAATGCTACGGACTTTATTTCTGCAATGTTTAGACTTTATTGCTGGTAATGCTAAGACTTTATTCTCGCAATGCTTGACGGACTTTGATTCTGGCTAATGTAAGACTGTTATTCTCGCAATGTTACGACTTTATTGTCACAATGTTACGACTTTTGATTCTCGCAATATTAGACTTTTATTGGTTCGCAATGTTCACGACTTTATTCTCGCAATGTCACGACTTTATTGTTCGCCAATGTTACGACTTTATTGTCGCAATGCTTACGGGGACTTTATTTCCGCAAGTATTACGGACTTTATTTCTCGCAATGTTACGAACTTTATTCTTCGTATATTAAGGACCTTTATTCTCGAATGCTTACGACTTTATTGGTCAACAATATTACGACTTTTATTGTCGCAATTGTTTACGGACTTTTTATTTCGCAAGTTACGACTTGATTTCTCGCAATGTTACGACTTTATTGTCGCCAATGTTACGACTTTATTTCTCGCCCAATATTCACGACTTTATTCTCGGCCGAATGTTACGGACTTTAATTTGCTCGTTAGATATTTAAGACCTCTTATTCTCGCTAATGCTTACGACTTTATTGTCACCAATATTTACGACTTTATTCTCGCAATGTTACGACTTTATTCTCCGCACATGTTACGGACTTTTATTCTCGTTATATTAAGACTTTATTCTCGCAATGGTTACGACTTTATTTCGCCAATATTACGACTTTATTCTCCGCCAATGCTTACGAACTTATTCTTCGCAATATTACGACTTTTATTCTCGCAAGTATTACGACTTTATTGTCGCAATATTACGACTTTATTGTCGCAATATTACAACTTTATTGTCGCAATATTACGACTTTATCTCGCAATGTTACGACTTTCATTTGTCGCCCCAATGCTTCACGACTTTATTTTCTCGTAATGGTTACGACTTTATTCTCGGCAATATTTTTTACGACTTATTCTGGCCAATATTACGACTTTATTCTCGCAATATTACGACTTGTATTCTCGCCAATGTTTACGACTTATTCTGCAATATTTACGACTTGTTTCTCGCAATATTACGACTTTATTGTCGCCAATGTTACGAACTTTCATTTCTGGTAATGTTACGACTTTATCTGTCACAATATTACGCACTTTATTTGTCGCAATGTTCGACTTTTATTCTGGTAATGTTTACGACTTTATTGTCACAATATTACGACTTTATTGTCGCAATTTTTTACGACTTCTATTCTGGCTAATGTTTAAAGATTTATTGTCACAATATACGACTTTATTGTCGCAATGTTACGACTTTATTCTGGTAATATTAAGACTTTATTCCTCGTAATGGTTCCTGCTGGTTTAATCTATAATTAGAACATTATATCAGTATAAGTATATAAGTGTAAAAACCTTTACAGCTACACAAAATAATCCAAAAGCAACCCAAAATCCAAACACACACACACATATATAGTATATATATATTTATGTATATATATACACATAAATCCTGCGTCTTCAAACTAACACGCTGGTAGGCTACAGAACACAGTAAGTTAGTCTTCGGTATTTTACAGCTCATCAGACTGTAGATCTTGCAGTTAGCTCTCCACGTCTAGCTCTGTTTACCTCCTGAGTCCTCCGTCCTTCGTTGTGTTTCGCGGCCTCGTTCGAGTCCCCGCGATCGAGGAGGCGACACCCAAAACGTTTGCTGCAAAACTTCTTCTCAACTTCATCCAGCCAGCTCGATCCAGTCGTCATCCTCCCATGTTGTTAGGCCCTGTTTTCGATGCTAACTCTCTCCTGCTAGCTCCGGGCTAATCCAGGCGAACCGTTGCTAAGTAACAGGAGAGCAGCGCGGGAAGTGGAGCGACACCGCCTTCAAAATAAAATAGTTGATTAAACGTAGCTCCTTCGACCTTGTTTCATGTCATCAACTTTTACTTATTAACTTTGGAGTGTATTTTGATGCTCCTCTGCTTAAGTAAACTGCAGGACTTTTTTACACCTGGTGATATTACTACTGTTGCTTAAGTTAACGGATGTGATACTTCTTACCAGAATCTTATTTTGAAAGATGTGAGAAGGACGTGCATGTTATCCGCTCTATCCGTTGTGCCTCGGTATTAACACAAGCGGGGTAAGTAAAATACCGACACTGTTTAACACAACATCTTATTTAGACACGCCACCTATGCTATTTAGAATTTCCCATACACAGAGAAGGATTATTATTAAAGCCTCATAAGAGAAAACAGAGAGAAAATAAAGCGTGCGCCAGACGAAACCTGCAGCGAAGACCCCAATGGTTTCTAGTCCCATCGCCATTTGACACACCCACTCGGCCACGACAACCGGATAACATTAATAACGTCAAGAAAAAATGTTAACCTAACCCTTCTTTTTCACCCCCGTTTTTTTGGAATTATATTGGAGTTTATCTCTCCCTCGAATAAAGTTGTAACATTGCGAGAATAAAGTCATAATATGCGAGAATAAAGTCGTAATATTGCGAGAATAAAGTCGTAACATTGCGAGAATAAAAAGCTGTAAATGTTGTCAAGTGTTTATACTTTATACGTGCCTTTTATCTGTCAGAGGTTTTATATTTTACTTCTAATCGAGCTCTCAGTCAAAAATACAGAATCCTTAATTGTTTTATTCAACTAAAAGCAAACATTCAGCCTATAAAATATCCAGTAAAGTTTAAATAGACGAACGTAAACTTGCATTAGTTGATGTTAATGAATCAATAACACAAACTCTGATTGTTTCCTCTGATTCAGTGCCGCCAAACCTGAAGAGTCGATGAGCAGCGTCACTGAGGACATCGACGCCTTTCTGGAGGAGTTACTGGAGGAAGACTACAGTGATTCCCCTCGACTGAAGGTGAACAACAACACATCGAGTGCATTTTGCTCTTAAACATAGAGCTGATGTTTTAAAGTATTTTATAATAATGGGCTTAAAAAACACAATATTTAGTAAATGAATGTATAAAATTGAGTGAATTTAAAAGTGTCAGTATCACAAACCTCAAAGTTTTGCAGAGCTTATAACTAAATGTATTATTTGTTTCTTCCCTGTAAAACATTATGATTTTGGATCGACTGATGTTTTAATCAGCTGACACAGAAACCGATTATTAGTAATCAATGTCAGGAAACCGATAAACATTTCAACACAAGTACTGTACATAAATACAACTTACTTCCATTTTATGTTGCTTTATGCTTCTACTCTTACTACTTACTTACTACTTAATCAGTAATAAACAATAATGTATAATTATAGATGAAACCAGCAGTATAACAAACCCTCTGCACCATTAAAGCGACACATTAATGCACCAATAATCCAGCATACAGTAATATAATGTATATTATTCTGTACTTTTAGTATATTTTGATGCTTAAACTTTTGTACTTCAGTAAGATTTTGATAATTGAGTGTTTTTACACTGTGGTACTGCTGATTTTACTGAAGTAAAAGATTAAGTATCTGGTTAATTAAATGTTATCTTCCTCTACTATTACTCAGGTGTGTTCACAGTCTGTGTTCTCCTCTTTTACCTTTCACTCCAGTCTGAGCAGTCTCCTAGAGGAACACAGGTGGAGAAGAAGCTGTCGTCTCAGTCTGGAGGGAGAAAGTAAGTAACTAAAGAACAATCACTGGATATAAGCAGACGGAGAAATGCTCAAATATCAGCCAAATATTTGGTATTTTTACAACTAAATGAGTCAGTAACTTTTCTTCTGGTAGTGTTTCGAGTTGGCTGATGATGGTGAGTCACACTGTAGATCCTCTCTGAAATGTGTGTGTATAATGTTCCCCAGCTATGAAAAGTATTATTCGTATCGTTCTGTCGGCTGTTTCAAACCTCTTGAACTGTGTGTTGTGCGTCCAGGTGCGGTCCTGTTTTCGCTGGCGGGAGCTCTGTCACAAATGGTGTTGGAACGGCCACATCCAAGAGGTGTGAAGAAATAATTTCATACTGCGAGCGTCTGTCATGTCTGTTGGGTTCTGGTTTATAACGATACAGGATTCTGTTACGGAGACTTATCTGATCTCAGAGGCATCAAATTATATACTTTTATTTGTTTAAATCAGCGGTTCCTAACCCTTTTCTCCTGCTTAAGTGACATATATATTATGGATATTTCATATTCTATTCAAAACTTGTGTAAAAGTGTGATTTAGATTCATTTTGAGCAGATTATGTCCTGTTAAATATCTGTATTATGTATTTTTTAAATCAATTTTAACGTTAATATGCTTGGTTTTTTTTGACAAATTCAGTATTTACTTCTCCCTGACACTTGGCCGTTATTTATTAGACAGATTACTTTACATTTTTTCACAGAAGTGAACCAAATGCTGAGATACAGACCTACTGTGTATTTTTTAAAGTTTTCTAGCGCCCCTTAAAAATCAAGAATACCTCACAACCCCCCCGAGGAGGTTTGTCTAGGCAGGTTGAGAGCCACAGGTTTAAATGAATAACAGCAAGGTCGCCCTTTTAATGTGTTAACACCATACTGATGAATAATTGCTAAGATGTAAAACACTTTACTAGAAACTTTAAAATACATTTCTGTTAATAATATCAAACAGGTCATGTGACCAGTTGAGATGTACTTCCTGTGACTTCCGGGTGCTGATGTTCGATGACTGTGAGTGGGACTTGTCCTGTGATTACCTGTTCCTCAGGTGAGTAAAAATACACATTACACACAGTAGACTTATTCTCCCGCCACTTTCTAACATAATGGAGCTTCATCAGATCATAATAATTCACTTTTTTATATTTCTTTCACTTCACTTTAAAACGAAGGAACGTTTACTTGACTCTTCTCGTCACCAGTTGCGGGTTTTTAACATATTTGTTTCTCCATGTTTTGTAACTGAAGAAGTAAAATGATCCTGTAATTCACAAGAAAAAAAAAGAAGCAAAGATTAGAGGAAAGTCTGAAGAAGTCTGTTCATCTCGCAGCCCCTTACGTTTGTATCACGAGCCCTTCAGGGGACCCGATCTGCAGATTAACACTAAAAATAAAACCTCGTCCCCTTCTTATCGGCCAACTATTTCAAGGATTCAAAGTTATTTTTATTGTCATTTACAATGAAAGGTTGTAGAATGAAATTTAGATATAGTTCCCTTTATGCTTAAAACGAGGTAAAAATGTGTTATTACAAATATAGTAATAAATCAAACATCTCAGGACTTTGATGTTCTTGCTGCCATGTTCAGTATCGTACAGTCAGGGTGTGCGAGGACGGTCAGACGTGGTTTGTTTTTGAGGTTTTCAGCTTCATCAGAAGGTGGCAGTGTTGAGCTGTGACCTGGTTTACCACTCGCCTCTTTTTATCATGTCATGTCTTCTTTACATCCACTGAACACTGCATCTAAAACAAGTGAGGAGGTGTGAAAACATTATATTTACAATGCACTATTTAGATGATGTGCTGAAAATATCCTCATTAAGCCATTTCAAATGTACATTAAATGAGAAAAGACATACTTTGGTTGTTGTTGTTTTTTTTTTTCAACAAACCGTGAGCTGTTTATTTTACACCAGTTTGAACAATTCTGCGTCTGCAAAGCGGTGTGACCAGAATGAAGACGAGCAGAGGCATTGTTAAAATGAACGAGTGAAGGCTTTCTCTTCAGGCTAATGCAGACCGAATCACCTGCGAGTTAGGAATCTGTGAGGCAAATGCAAATTCTGGAGATATAAGGAGGATGTAAGCAGATTAATGGAGATAATGACATCCTCAGAAAGTGAGGAGACGGAGTGTCATTTTGTTTGGTTTTAAATTAAAAAAGTTGCCCCCATGAGCTGCTGCAGCTCTGTCTGAATATAAATCCTGTCCCCGTTGTGTTTCTGCTGTATGGTAAGCAAACACCAGCCAGTCAAACAGTGTGGGCCGGAGTGTAACATCCTCCTATGGATTAGAGGTTTCACTCTGGTCTTTGTCTGTTCAGCTATGATGTTTTTTTCCGCTCACGCCTTTTCTGTTTATTCCAGTGCAGGAATAAAACATGAGTCAGGTCCTCTGCAGAGGTTGAGAAAACAAACGGAAACGCTTTAATGAAGTGGATAATAGCTGGATCAGTGGTGTGTTAGAGTAATCAGTGGTACTTATTTTTCTTTTTACTTCTATAAAAAGGTTTTTAATCAATTGAATTTGTCAATTTAATTGAACCACTTGATTCACAAAAGTGATAAAATCCTACCTTCTGTGAGCCATTAAAGGTACAATATGTCTGTCACTTCAAAAGATCATGGGAGTTGTTGTCTTCACCACCATTGGGCGTCATTGCATCCATGCTTCTCCCGGTTAGGATTTCCCTTCAGTGTTCATGGTTCAGGAGTTTCTACCGGGAGCCCAGTTATCCACAGAGGTCTCCTCATCCTCCAACAAACAGAACAGACCCGCTGGATTAAAACCACTAACACACTGAATAAAGCAAGTCCACCTTAAAAAACTCACTGCTTCTCCCACACTGTTGGACAGACAAAAGGACGTCCCGGAGGGGGCTGGCGAGCCCGAGCTGCTGCTAACGTTTAGCTCAGCTTGTTCAAGATAAGAGATAAGATAAGAGGAAGATTTTATTTGTCCACATGCAGTTATACAGTAAATGCACAGTGAACATGCTTCTTTGTACTGCAGCCACTACAGAAAACAAAATACTCCACTACAGTAAAAACGCAGTGATTTAGCACAGAACACACAAGGTACAACAATATACCATGTAATATAAAACTAAGAAAACAATAAAAATATCAAAATATAGACTGTAAATATAACATATTATAATATAGGACCTGTACTCCAAGTGTAAAACTTAAGGGGGGGTACTAGCCCTCCGAATATACACACACACTTTCAGTACTGAAAGCAGCTATGCTGAGTAAAGAAAAAAAATACAGTGGTGCAGTGTTCAGGTTAAGGCTCAGAGTTGAGCAGGCGGATGGCACCTGCTGGATCAGAAAACTCCCTTTTTCCAGCCGTCTCCCAGTCTTCTGCTCCTCAGGCATCGGAAACGCAGACATGCATGGCAGTAGTTTCTCTGATAACTTAAGCATCCAGATGTCCGATGACTAAAATCCTTCATCCCGGTTCAAATCTAGGAGTTAAAAAGCACAAGATCTAAACAGTGGATGGTAAAATGTGGCTTTAGACTGGATAAACCAGTCAACTGTGTGACAGCTTCTGGCAGACAGCACAACGTCTGAACGCAGGCACAAAGGCGGATATGACCCATCCTGACAGGCAACCGTGAAACGCAGAGTTACCTGAATAAAATCGACAGATTTCTCTGAGTTTGAACATTGTTGGAAACATTTGGGATAATGAAGTGTACCTGAGTTTTGGTGCAAAAACCTGAATTATTCAAACTTTATAAGTCAGGACTAAAATGTATAAAAAACAGTTCATAATCCAAGCTTTACAACTGAGCAAATGTGAGGAATTAGGTTTCCATAAATGAATTAATAGCACAGTACAAAACCAACCAGAGATCCCAGGTGTTGACCCCACACACAGGTGACCCGTAAAGTGACTTTCATATTAACAATCTACACCGCGACGTGTTTTCACTTTGTGCTCATGTGCAGCAGCAGGAGGAATCAAGAACTAATTCCTGGTGACACAATGTCGTTGGTTTTACAGTAGGCGGCTGACAGGCCACGTGGAAAACAAAGAACGGCTGCATGGAGCGTGTGTGGTGTGTGGGCGGGACCGCAGAGTTTGACTGAACACCCAGGACTCGAATCTTTTCACCCACGTCTGCTGATACTATACCCATGCTGACAGTAACAGAAGGCACCTGAGGTTCCACTGGAGTTTGCGGTTTCTGGGCAGTAAAAAAAAAAAGTTATGTTCTGGAATAACCTAAAACTACAAGTCCAAGCCTTTATTAATAAAGATACATATTGAAGATGGATTCGTTTGCATTCAAATGATGCCAATTAAGAACTACTTTGGTAAAAGATAAGGGTGTGCAGATGTCTCTAAGACGATCTGATGAGCCTACGATACGATTCAGACAATTTTAATACGGATAGATTCGATTGATGTGATCCTGATAAAGTTCTTAATATTAGTTTAATGTAAACATTTATTTTCCATTCTAGATTAAAATAATAAACTCTCTAATAAAAGCGACATTGCCTACCTTTCGAAATACATACAGTATAATTTTATAAAATACCCAGGAAGTATTTATTTCTTTATGGGAAAAAACTAAAGACAAATGTCTCATTTCAGAATTACATGTCTTTGTGTTTGTTTGCTTTTTCCCAACAGACCTCAGACAGAAAGACTTCTTGCAGTGATGACCTTCGACCTCGCCTAGTTGGAGCTCAGTTGTGTCTGGAAAGTGTTTAATATCTTTCATGTTCTTACTTGTGCTAGCTGTGTAAGCATCCACAGGTGTCACCGTGCCGTCTCACCAGGTGACTGTTGAGATCTGTTGTGCTACGTCTGACAGATCTTACAGTTGGACAGACTTTTTGTCTTTCCTTCTTATTGAATCCAAATGTCTTCCAAACTTCAGATTTTAGATGTGACGGTGCTGTAAATCTTATTGACGAGCCACGCTGCACTTATGTTACTCTCGTTGCTCTTGAGGTGAGACCCTGGCGTTGACCTTTTAGTAGACTAATGTTTGCAGCAAAGCTTCTCTCAACAGATTCATAACTTTAGAATCGGACCATCGACTAGTTCGTGGTACATTTGGATCCATCCAGGGGTCTGAGGACTGATGTAGTCACATCTCGGATTTAGGACTTGTATCGGTAAAAGAGTAATGAAATGATCCGTAAATGTGCCAGTGTTTTCGGGCTGTTTCTCTTCCCCAAGTGGTCAAAAAACATGAATTAATGTAGCTTTAAATGCGGGCTGGCAATATGCTTTTTAAAAAAGGATTTAAAATTGGACTTTCTGTCATTCCGTTCTCTTTCTCCCCGTTTTGTCCCATCTGAAAATTAATTTCTCTCATTTAAAGGTTTCATCCTCATTTTAATTTGAACAATGTAATGTCAGAAGTAAATGAGGTCCAGAGCTGCTGTCAGTTCTCTGACTGTGGATTAGACATCATTATATCTTTAGTGTGGCACACTGGCTCCATTCACTCAGCTGACCCACAGAGTGGCTTTAATAAGCCGAGGGCAGAGATAAAAGAGCTCAGGTAATGTCTGTCGTGCAGCAACTGAACTTTTCATTGACAGACGGTTGTTGTGAGCTGTTGGATGGTGTTGGCTGGCTGTGGGACCGTGCACTGGTTGTTGATGAGTCTGTCTAACGGCCAACAGCTTCGTGACCGGAGTGCCGCTCTCACAGCTCTTCTCTCCACTCCACTGTCTGTACGGCAAAACCTCATCGCAAGCTAAGCCTGTTTATAGTACTGTGCTGCTGTGCTCTTCAGATCATCTTAGGATCCGGTCGTCAATAAAATAAATACAGGTTAATGACTCAAGATATACACGGTGCGATCGGCTGTATCGTCATTCAGTACAGTTCAGTAGAGTACACAGACTCGTGTGTATTTATAGGGCTCTGTATTGGCAGGAATCTGGCGTTACGATAGGTATCATTATACAGGTGTTACATTTTAATATACTGTGATATATTGGATCTGTACAATGTGGGCACTGCTGGTATACACTGAGGAACGTGCCTAACCTTGTTGTCCGCATGTCACATCCAATGGCTCAAACAGTAGGTGTGTTTTTATACACAATGTAGGTTGGTGTCTTATATTCCACTCAGTTATAAAACACACATTGTCAAATGTCATACTGGTAGAGCTCCAAATTATTATTAAAATGTTTAGGTTGAAAGATCAAGTAAACTCACGTCACATCTGCTGACTCAGTCAAGGTTGTGGTAATCCTTTCATCCAAACCCCTACGCTTCCTTTTCTGATGACTGAAGGCTGTTTCTGTCACAGGTAATTAACTTAACCTTTTAAAATCAAATCATTCAATTCAATTTTCAATTCAATTTAATTTTATTTGTACAGCGCCATTCATAAGCAGAGAGTTTATCTCAGGACACTTTTCAAATAGAGGCAGTCTAGACCGAACTCCTTTTAACGAACCCTTTAAATGAGGTTTTCAGCAATAAAGCCCAAAAACAAAAACTAAAAACTGATTAAAACACAAACAGACGCATTCCCCAATGCATGTAAACAGGTTCCCCTTTTAAAGTTAGAGCCGACAGAAGGTTGTCGTCTTAAAGCACCGTCACAAAGCGTGTGTTACCACATCAAAAAGAGCTCATTTTATAAAATTACTGAGCCGTATCACAACCAGAACCGAACACAGCTGGATCCAGTGGCCACGAGGCGTAATATGACCGTTTGAGAAAGTGGATCACAAAAATGTAAACACAAAAAGACAAAGATTGTTAAGCAATCTTTAACCTGTAACTGTCTTTAACAAAAACCCCGTCGGCACCGACATAAAACAAACTTATTTCAGTGGTTTTTGTGCCATTTACTTTTAGTGTTATTTTGTTAAGTTCAGAGCACTCAGGCACACTCAGAGTGTTGAGTGTGTCCTTCACTTCAGTGTTATCATCCAAAAAGCTTCAGTCCCCCAGCAGCACTGCGTCTCCAGCTGGAAAAGGCGAAAACCATTTTTATAAAGAAGAGAGAGATAGAGGGGCGAGATGTGCGTTTGCTGGTGCCTATCAGAACCAGTGAGCTGTAAGAGCTTTACTCTTGATATAAATGTTATTTTAATGTTTGCAGTTTGTCTCTTTAATGATAAAGTAAATCTATTCTAACACATTTAATTGAAGGTTGCTGCTATTTAATACAATTTCACGTGACCTATGTTAACCGATTAGGTTTAAGTATTTATCTCTCATTAATAGATTAAGCAGTATTGTTAATTAGAGAATATGTTTTATATTCCCCCCGTCACCTTTTTCCTCTGTTTTCTGTTTGTTGGAGGTCATTTTAGCATCCGAATCCATTACTGAAGCTACCCACGCATCTGTTTTATTATTTAATGTTATATTTTAATTAAGGGGCTTACCCGAGAGTAGTAATGTGAAAAAAAAGAAGTTTTAGCCTGTAATTTAATATCATAAGTGAGTGTGAATAGTGGAAGCATAAAAGCAATTATAAATTGAGTATGTGAATTTATAATTGCTCTTATAATTGTTGATGTAGGCGTGATGGTTTGAATTAAAATACACAAGAAAGGAGTTTTTTTTAAGCTTTTTAATTATAAAAGTATGAAGTGACTTTGCAGCTGCACATCACTCTCAAACAGCACAAAACCAGGAGGAAATCAGGAAACGTTAAGTGCACTTGAGCTTCATTTTTGACTCTTAATGTGCTCGCTCATTTGCCGTGCACTGGCACACTTGTTTTTAATTTACTGCAGATGAATATGATTTCTGTGGATGAATCCAGAACTCACAAATAAAACTTTTACTGGAATCAGATTGTGATGACATAATAATAATCTAACATTTTACAATATTATGTTTTTCACTTTAATGGTTCCAGTCTTATTTTATTTTTTATTTATTGCAACTTGCTAATATTTTATAATTAGCACTAAGCACAAAGTACAGATGAGGCTGATAAGGCGCTACTAGTAATAATATTACTTTCCTCAGTAACTAGTAGTGTAACTAATTACTAATACATTTGATTAATGAAATTACAGTTACCCCTCAAAATATAAGTAGTTACAACCTTTCTTTTGTTGCTTTTAACAAACAAAACTTCTTTTTGGGAGTGAAAAGAGGTCGCAGTTAGCAATTGTGTGGGGTGGAGCAGAAAAGTAATAGAAGTGGTAGTGTAACTAATTACTGTTGGCAGGGAGTAATAACTAAAGTAATAGATTACATTTTTTGAGTGGACAAGCCCAACACTGCTTGAAATGTTGCCTTGATGAAGAGTCAGAGGATGACATGAATCATCAAAGTCAGGAGCCTTCATCCTTTTTGGGTTTTGGACAAATCAAGACGTCACCTTGGAACTTTTTTTACAACTTTCTGACATTTCGCAGATAAAACTATTTCTCTGTTTACTGAGAACTGCGCCTGAAGATTAAAGGACCAGTGTGTTGGATTTAGTGGCATCCAGCAGTGAAGTGAAACTCGTGAAGAACATGAAAGACCCTGTCTAGAGTCAGTGAGTTAATGTTAAATTGATGTGAGAACTTTGTGTGTTTTTCTGCGTAGGAACAACGTGCCGGACCGTCAGAAGCTCAGAGCCAAGTTGAAGAAGAGGAGAGGTTTACGGGCGTACGCCTGCCAGTGCAGCTGGTTCTCCACGTCAGAGCCGACAGACCTCAGGGACCAACCTCAGCTCAGATGGGTCTGTGGCAAACACCAGGACTGATGTTCACTCCTCACTCAAAAAACTCCCTCTGGACAATGGGCCAAAGCAGATCATCACGGACAGAGACACTTCTGCTGCTTATCCCTGTCCGTTCATCTGTTTAGAGTTCTGTCTTTTACTCTTTATCCATCTGTCCACTTGACTTTGGCAACCTTTCAGGGACGTCAATAAGACACAAAATCCATCTTCAGCCAGAAGAATCTGTAATGAAATGGATCATTAAGTGGAAAACCTTGGCGAGCTTTCCATCCTGAAACCCAGCTCTGGTTTTGTCTCTACCAACATCTGTCTGTTTGGCTGCTGAATGCTGCACTATGTTCACCAGCCAGGCTCTCTCTGTGTCTGTCTGCTGCTGAGCACGTAATGTACAGGTTACAGTACAGGTGCATCAGAGCTTGTTTTATTCAAGCTTATTATATATAAAACTCACTGACACTAGATGTTGCACTAGAGCACCAGCATCTCAGACCAGGCGCTACTGCTGACCACTCTAACGTAGCAGATAATCTTACAACTCACTTCAAACTGGATGGAAACAAAATAAAACTCAACCAATCATTTCAGGCAGTGACAGGAGAGGCATGAAACCGAAAGAGGAGCGCGTTTGTAGCCAGTTAATTTGTTGAGGGAGGCCCTAATATTATTATATTATATATTATATTATGTTCTGAATGTGTGTTATAATGATATATGTTAATGAACCAAAGTACGCTGCAGCAGTGAAGTTGTGGGCCGGAAAACCAAAATAATGAGCTGAAAGATGCTGTTTTATTATTGAACTTTTACATAATGCTAGCTGGCTCCATAATTAAACTATGGATGTAATTTCTATAAAAATCTGATATAAACTGTTTATTATTGTATTTCCCAACCTGATTTTTTTATATATATAAATGTGAAATGTGTGATTTGATGTTGATGTCTTTCGTATCACTGTAGTCAGGTGTAATTTCAGAAGATATTCATATTGTTTTCTATGGTAACAGTCTGTATTTTATCAATTACAAACAAATTATTGAATATGGCAAACAGTTAATTAGCATATTAGTCACCTCGACTCATCCTGTGACTGACGATGTGTTCAGTTAAAGCCGAACCAAAGCTGTTCTCGTGTTGTGATCTGACGAACGCGTCTCCTGCCCCGTTGATATGCAGCAGCAGTGTTTGCAGTGATGACAGACTGATGGGAACTGATGTCATTTCATTCAGTTCTCTGATGTCAAGTCACAGTTTAGTGCGATTAAAGCTCGCCGTTGAGCTGCAAACACAAACAAAGCCACGAGGAGCCACAGCAGCTGTGTAATTATTCAGTAAGTGATGAGTGGGAGAGCGCTGCGTTTAGCTGCGGTCGATTTTAAAAAAACCTCATAAATCACTTGGTGGTGATTTTTATCTTTTTACTGCAGCTGGTGGAACAGAGAGTGAAAGTTTGAGGTAAACCGCCGAACCTCGGGCTTAATTAGACAAATGTACTGGATGAGTTCACAAACTCACAGGTCAAAAAGAAAAACTTCTATCTTTGTTCACTGAAGTGTTTAAAGCTCCAGTGTGTAACACAGAGGAGGATCTACTGGCACAAATGGAATATAATATTCATAGGTATGTTTTCTTTAGGTACGTTTTTATCTACAGACGCTGCGGGTCGCCTTCCGTGGTGTCCGCCATGTTTCTACGGCAGAACGGCAGGTGATTGGGCGAATCTTCTGTCTATCACCGTCTATCACTTCAACCAATCAGATCAATGAACTGTCGGTGGAAGAGAGAAAACGTCTTTTCCATTGAGAGAATCCTTCAGTGTCGTTCTCTGAATGAAGAAATAACCAATCAATCAATAAAACACTTTCTTCTTAGTTCTTTGTTCTTAGTTTCAACCTCATGTAAAACTATTCCCAAGTCTAAAGTTTGAAGCATAAGTCTGAATACATTTAATAAAAAGACCAAAACTACCAACGTGTTAGTCCGTCTCTCAGTGACTTCCTGTCAGTAGCTCTCAGCTCAAAGCCCATTGGTTCCTACTGAAGACGTTAATCTTTTAAAAAGGTTCAGTTTGTTAAAAAGCTGCTCACTAACAGGAAGAAATAGTACATTTGTTGGGGACTACTTTCAGCGGCGGATTAATCCACATTTGGTGTAATAGTGAGTGTTCAGGGCAGCAGGAGGGTGTATGAATAAACTACAGTGTAACAGTGAGGCTCACTGATGTGTTTTTAACAACAATGAAGCTCTGTGGCAGAGAGGAAGAGATATATCAGGGTTTGATACTCACACAGTATCGTTAATGGATACAGTCACTGCTGGTCCGCACATGAGGAAAAATATATAACATCCCCAGACTTATCCGTCAACCCCCCCCCCATCTCAAACCAGTTCTTTTCAAACTCGTTTTACATTCTTTATCCTCTTTCATTGGTTTATTTGAGGACAATGTACAGTTAATATAAAAACAAGACATCCATAAATCCATATATGTTTTATTAGCTGTTGAAAGATTCTCCTTATTGTGCCTTCAGGTCACATATAGCTCATATAGCCCGTTATATAATATAAATAATACATGTATTGTAGTGGAAACCTTTACAGAAAGATTTCCTGTTCTTTAGTGTTCAAACTCTTTATTGATTTATTTAATATTAAACGAAAATAAACCAGATACTTCTTAACGGAAGCGTGTTGCATTCACTTGAAAAAAGATGGGGCTCTGTTTTTCTGAATTAATTCAGGGTTCCCCGTGTGTCCTGGAAAGTCTGGAAAACCTGGAAATTTAGAGACTAGTTTTCAGTCATGGAAACACCTGGAAATTAATTAAAATGACCAAATATTGTATATGCAAAGCTGAAAGGAGAAAAGTTCATTTTTCATTTTCCCTGTCATGTTAGTAAAAAAGTGTTCTCTCCAATAGCAGCAAACTTTTCACACCAAGTCTAATTTGGAAATGTTGTAGATCAACAGGGAACCAACCTGGGGGTTGGGACTCCTACTAGGGGTCGCCAAAAATCCACAAGGGGGTCGCAAGGTCTTCTTGAAACAATAACAATGGCCAACTTCCATGGACAAGAAAACACAAAATGTATCAAAAAAGAAGCGTATTAAGTTTTTGTGATTGTTAAAAATGATAAAAAAATATGTGAAACAGACAGAACATTGTATAAAAAGCTTCTTAAACAGGAAATAATCTACTCAGAATGTAACTTCTTGCAGTTCTTGTGTTGAATACAATATGAAATATCCATAAAATATGTCACTAAAGTTTAGTTTACTAAATGAAGTGAAAAGGTTCGGGACCAGTGGTACAGATATATGTCACAGCTACATGCATACAGCCATTAATAGAGATCACATGTGCTGCTGTGCTAGGTTTCCTCTTTAAGGGGAATCAATCAGGAACATCTTATCTTAGAAAAACAGGTGAATTGTATTTTTTTTTTTTCCAAGTGAATGCAACAGGCTGCTGTAGTTTTTTTTTTGGTTAAACCTCAGTTTTTGTCCCCTCCTGCTCTCTGTACTCACCTGCACAGTTGTTGTTTGGATTTACATAATTTCTTGCGTCAGAAAAACAACTTTATTCCCGCCTCATGAATGCTACCTGAAGGGTTTCTGCCTGCACTACATTTATCAGTATTTCTATATCTGTAAACAAACACTTGCCGTTTGTTCTCTTTGGTTTTTGGCAGCAATCGTTAGTACCTGCTGGGATCCTACTGACGCTCAGCCGGAGGAGTTCTGTCTCGTCTGACAGTCCAATAATTATCATCTGGGAGGAAAACACCGGCTCTCCTGCTGCGGGTGTGAAACACCAGCAGTGGGGAAGAGACTGTCAGATCTGTGTTATGTGATAAACTCAGCAGTGATCTGTCGGCTCGGCCGGAGATGAGTGGCAGCGATTTACATCTGATAACTTGTTGAATGTGTGTGTGTGTGTGTATAATCTAGAGCGTAATTATCTCTCCCAGAATGGAGGCGTCTTTAACAGAGTTCAGTTCAGACTCTACACTGATGAAAAGTCTGGTGTTTTCTTCAATCTGTCCAGCACAAAGCCTGAAAATGTGAGAAAGTACTGAATGTACTCTGGCAGATAGCATCTGGGTGTCTGTCTGATTACTAAATGAAGATTTTACATTATTACAGTTTTTCCACATTTCTTGAAACCTTTCTCTCTTTTGTCAAAACACAAACCCAAATTTTCAGTCTACGTTCACAAAGCCTCCTCTGGCACACACACACACAC